TGATATTATAAAATTTTTCAGGCCCGAACCGAAGGAAATGAATGGCTCGGCATAGCCTCAATCCTTCTTTACATTTTAAGCCCTTGCCTGATAGATTTGTAATATCAGACCATAGGTTGGTATTCTTCTATATATAGTATTTAAAAAAATTAAAACTGACACTTGGACATAAAGACATTTATGACGAAACCGAAATGTTGAATTATCTTTTTTTTGACATTGATCTTAAAATGGTGACCTTGATCATATTGGTCAAATGATTGAGTTTGCTGAAATTGAGATTACTGTTATTTATTTACAGATTATAAGCATTATATATTACGAAATTATTTATACTCATGTTTCTACCATTTTATATGTTTATCTAATAAATACTACTATTTATCTCTTATATAATATGAACAAGCGATCAACAAAACAAGTCATCCCCCGTACAATCTTCCCAACAATATCGAATGGAATTCAGAAAACAGGATCTTGAATTTCTCGATTCTCCATTTTTACAAAATTTGTTTACAAACTACACTGGTGATTATAGAATTCATATGGTGTGTTGGTATATAAGTGTTCCTCTCTGGTGTACAAGCTTCTACCTCACATAAACATCAGAGTTGATAGATTACTGCATACATTCCGAATGTGTTAGCAGTGTTTATTTTCAGAGAATGCAGAATGCGTGGTTGAGTAATAGTGGCGCTATAAGCTAACTGATTCTTTTTTTTGCCAGAATTATAATACGTAAAAATGGCGAATAATACATTTTCTTCAAGTTCTGTGAGTCTGAAAATCGGCTTTTTAATTTTGTTAGTTGTTATGATAGTTCACATAATTGGATTTTCGATACCAAGATGGATTTCATTTGATATAATTTTAAGACAGCGCTTGCCCGAATCTGCATACCACGGCGGTCTCTGGCAACACTGCTGGTGTGCTTCCGTTATAAAATCTGGTGCGTGACTTTGTGTCTCAAGGACAAATGATCCAGGTAAACATTTCTAGGACAAATGATTTGAAAATTTTGAAAATTAAATAATTGACATTTTGCTATAGTTTTTCGTTGTCAAGTTGAGTTGACTTAGATTTATTATTCGAAAAATTGATGCTGATTGACCAATAATTAATAGTTAGAAATGTTTAGGATGTAATATAAAAACTGCATAAAATGTAAAAAAAAAAAAAATAACTGGACCACCCTTTTTATCAACTAACAGCCTAACCGATTGATACTGAAAACAATTTATTGAAATTTTGAAATTTCCTGTGCCTCGTGGGTTCTTGAATATATACATTATTAAAAGAAATAATTGATTATGACAAACAAGCAAACGGTTCCTAATCAAATAAATAAAAACGTTTTCGTTTTCACGATACACCGTGTAACATATAAGCATCTGTGAGTACCTCCCGCTTTCATAACGAACACAAAATAGTTTTATTCTAAAACATGGTGTCTATACATAAATAGCCTTTCAGGATGTAATATTTTTATCGCAAAATATTTAAACTATCCCAACGTGTTTGAAATGATAACGGTAATATGTCTATCAAGATCCGGTAGCAGATGGAATATTAGAAAAAGCTGGTTAAATAAGCGCTAGCTATAAAACCAATGAAAGAGAATATTGTGGCCGGATATTGTAAATGTCATATATGTGTATAAATGACATTTAGCTGCATGTAAAGTCAAGATAATCATAGTATGAATAACTTTATTTAAGAGAAGCCACATATGTTGTAAATCGGTAGGCAAATTATTTAAATAATATATATTTTGATTTTCTGTGCAGTGCTTATCTTTTTTAGTTATTTTGTTTGTGGCATATTAACTTGCTCAACTTGCTCTTGAAGTACACAAACATTATAAAAATAAAATTCGATGTCTTGTTCAAATGTAGCCAGCAACCATTCGTAAATAGTATATTTTAATGGTGGGTGTTGAACGAATAATCTCGTGTGTACTCGAATGTAACATCATGAATTTTCAAGCGTTGATACTCATAAACAAATGTCACCTGGATTCTCCTGGAAACAGAAGAAATGCCTTGGCCTTTTCATGAAACTTTATGTGAGCTAATAAATAAATTAAATGAAATGTATTTCAAATCTTGTAAACAACATCAAACTTTCTTGTTTGTTTTCTAATGTATAAATGTAAAATTTACTAAAAAAATATAAAAATGATGACAAAAAGCTTGTCCCAGGGTACTCCAAAATGTATCAGAGACGTTCTAGACAAGAAAAAAATCCGGGGGAGCATTGTAACACCGCACTTTGGGGTCAAACGCACTTTGGGGTCCGACCCCAAAGTGCGTTACGTACTTTGGGGTCCGACCCCATAGTGCGTTACGCACTTTGGGGTCCAATTTCGACCCCAAAGTGCGTTAAACAGGTACATATACATTTTTTAACATCAGGCAAATGACCGCACTTTGGGGTCATAGAGAATGAATGTTCATTATGTTTTAAATAATATATTGTAGTCAAAGCCAATGGTAAACAAAAAATCAGGGTATTAAATAGACACAAACATGTGCCCTTAATTATAGTAGAATCAATAGGGATTTAAATAGTCTTGATTAGTAAGTGAAGAACTTTCACCAACTAAATCACCAAATAAAGAATTTGTATCAATTATTAAGCTTAAAATATTTTTTTCTCAAATTTTCCATTTATTTTAAAAGAATGTACACCTTGCATTAACTCCATTGTTTTTAGCTAAATGCATTATTTTCCCGTATTTTATTTACACATTTTATAGAAATATGATAGTCTTTGCATAGACAAAGGTACAAATTCTGTGTAATCTTAGTAAGACATTTCAGTTACAAATATGGGTCTGATAATATGTTGAAAGAGCCATTTATTTAGCTAAATGTGACATATAAGAAGTAGGTGTTGATGCGGCTTTAAGTAGTAGTCCGTACATGTAGTACTAATAAGTAGTCGCACATTAAGAGTGTAACTTCAGATTGTATCATAGTTTGGAGACCTTTCTGCTGAAAATGTGTCAGGGTTAAATCGTATACATATACATGCACAGTGCGTTAACTGGAGTGCGGGTATTAGTTACCCGCACTCCAGAGCATGCCCATTGATTGGCTCATTTTTGCTGGGGTTTACATATTGTGACGGCAGAGAAAGGGAAAGCGACAGAAATGTCATATCCAGATGCTCGTTCATTGGTTCATTTTTGCCGGGGTTTCATATTGTGATACAGGGAACGTGCTTTTATGTTTGACTATGATACAAAAGAGAAAGAACACCAAAACACTCGGCAATCTGATTTATACTCGGGGGCTACGCCCCCTCGTACAAATCAGATAGCCTCGTGTTTCGGTGCTCTTTCTATTACATAACGTAAAATTCTCAGTGGGGGTATAGAGGGGATTGTGGGGTATCGATCCCCCCGAGGGTTAAAAATAACATTTTAAAGGCCCATTATGCTTTTTTTTTTTCTTAAAAGCTTTTTAATTTTGATGTTCTTCTATATTATCCAAAAAATACACATTGGCCAATTACCTGAACCATCTTTTTCATCTGTTGCTTTTTAGCAATAATGAGTACAGTTATAGTGAATTAGTATTTTATAGGGAAGTCAAATACTACATTGTTTTGACTACTTTTATGACAAATAATTTCACATTTATCGCTACTTTATTCAGGTAGCAAGCATCTTACATTTCTCTGATACCATTATTTTAACATAATAAAATTCATGTTTGCTCTTTCTAAAGAAGTATGTAAGATTTCCCATAAAAAAACCTCTGGCGAACGGTGGTTACGGAGCTTAAAAAAACCCTTAAATTTGTTGATAAGCTTAATAATGTATTTGTAAAAATCACTATTTATAGTCCGATTGAAAAACTTGATGTTTTACCAGGACATTGCAATAGAGTATACTTATAGTTCTTTGGAAAAAATATTAACTGCATTTTATTTCATTCCCAACATATTTAAAATGGAGCTCAATATGGCACCAAAAGTTATCAAATAAATGACTGACAGAACGGGATATTTTTCGCAGCATCTTTTCATCTTTGGGATACACAATTTCTGTACTTGATTTTTTTGAACGGTGGCATAAAAGTGACATTTGCATTTTTTGGATACTTTTTTTTCGTACATATTTTTTTTGTATGTCGTACATATTTTTTTTAGTTTTGAATACATACTTTTTTAGTTTTGCATACGTATTCTTTTTAAGTTTGTATACATATTCCATTTTAGGTTTTTTTTACATATTTTATTTTAGTTTTTTGTAGATATTTTATTTTTGTTTTTTAGTACATATTTGTACATGACGCCATGTGTAAAGTAGAGGTTTGGATAATTACGCCATTTGTGAAACACCATTTTCAAACACTTCGCCATCTGGTAATTACAGTACCCCATTTGCAAATGCACCAACATTTTCATTTTTGGATGTATCAAAAAAAAATAACAACACTTTTTAGTATAAATATATTCTGCATATGGCCTCGATGTGGTTAACATTTAAAGATGCCTTAAAATCCTTCATGGGGTTTAGGAGAATGAAACCCAAGTCTTAATCCTTTGATTTGAGGTGTGACCCCGACCTTGAGCCGGCACACCTGGCATATAAGCTCTGCACATTATCTGGATGTGCTAAAGAATTGACCCAAATTAAATAAAAATCTTTCAAAGCTTTCAGCATTTTTTCTAAATCAGTGGAATATAAGGACCTATTTAGATCTTTGTAATACACCAGTCATTTTTCACCACCTTCCTTGCCCCCGGAGGAGAGAATCGCGTTTAAATGTTTGCGCTGTCCCGGGGCATAAGGCAGGAATGTTATTATCTGTGTATTCCCCGCAGGGCGAAGATTTTACCAGTGGTCAGCTTGGTTTAAAGTCAATGCCCACCCCACCCCCACCCCCCGAATGGGTGGGGTTAAGTGGTGCGTATTCATGGAATAATAACTGATCACCAATCCAATTATAGTATATAATAATAAAAAAACAATAATTATATAAGATACATATAATTTAAAAAATGGGCCGAAAAGGGTTGGTCGAAACCATCTTTGCCCTGCCGAAAACGAGAGGGCCGATTCCAAAAATGGTCCGAAATGTGTCCAAACCACTGTGCTAGTTGTATACTCAACTATGGGCTGTTATGAGATGTGAAGGCTGTTTTGATTGGCTAAAATATGTACGAAAAACAAAAATAAAATATGTGCGAAAAACTAAAATAAAATATGTATGCAAAACTAAAAAACAATATGTATACAAAACTGAAAAAAAATATGTATGCAAAACTAAAATGAAATATGTATGCAAAACTTAAATAAGCAAAATGCAAATGTCACTTTTATGCCACCGTAATTTTGTTATATGAACACAATTTTTAGATATTTCAAGTGGTAAAATTAATGAAACTTTTATCTCTTAAGCATCATAAAGTATTGACCGCCATCTTGAACTCCACCTCAAATATTTCAATGTCGCAGATCGAAAATAAGTCAGTACTCAGTATTTAAGCAGAACTCAGATGACACCTTTAGACCTCTTGAACCCAAAGTGCGTTGATATGTAGCATATTAACGCACTTTGGGGTCAATTTCTCGATTTTAACCCCAAAGTGCGTTGGACCCCAAAGTGCGGTGCGAAGTTTAACGCACTTTGGGGTCGGACCCCAAAGTGCGTTTGACCCCAAAGTGCGGTGTTACAGAGCATGCCCCGGACCCCATAATTTGCCCCGGTCAAAACAGGTATGGCTACGCCATTCTTAAGTATTTCGATTTTTTTAATACTGAATTGAAATTATTTGGAATAGGAAAACTCACTATTGAATTCATTCTTTTTATGTCGCGTATAGATGTTTCCTCCGGAAAACATTTTGATGATCCATACTTCCCCTACTTAATTTATGATCCATATAAGGTTGTTCCCCTCCATCCTAATAACATTATGATACGTATAAGGTTGTTCCCTTACTAAATATATAATGAGTTTTATTGTAAATGTATATATTTGTTCTCAAGTTTTATATATTGTAATTTCATATTATAACAGGATGGTTTAAGATTGTACAAACTACAGAAACACTTGGTCTCATTGGTCTGGTTTCATCGGCGTTTATATCTGCAATCATGCTGTTCTACAAACAAAACAAACGACACAAGACTCTTAACATCTGCTGTATGATATTGTCAGGTAAATTATCTTATAAATGATAGGTTTTTATACAATGTGTATACTATATATAAGTCAATATAATAGGACAACTAGATCAGAACCAACACGATTTTAAATATCAGAACATGTTTCGCTTTATTAGCTTCGTTAGTTGATATAATCTCGTTCAAAACATTCACGATTTGGAGTTTCCTTTAAGAAAGTAATTCAGCAAATGGGTAAAAGTTGTTGGTTTTATTCAATCAATTCAATTGAATCACCCCTGTGCTTGAAAAAATAACAAGTTAGGATACCAAGAGTATTAGGCTAGTATCCTTTTAATGATCCGAAAGGAGAATTAAAAGATCGAAATATTAAACCATAAAAATAACTTTAACTTTCTATGTTGAAATTTGTATTGGTCGATTTTACCAAGTCAAACATATATTTAATAACTAATTTATTTAGATATATTTATTAAACATTCAATATTTGTTTCAGGTGTTTTGATTTTCATTGGTGTGATCTGGTTTGGGATCAAATCTAGGGAACCTTTGGACGCATTTACCAGGTCTTCCAGCCATTTCTATGAGGAAATTCCTGTCGGAAAATTAAGTTATGCTTATCTTCTCTGCATTATTGTGGCCTTCCTCTGTATATTTGTGTGCACGCCTCTCTTTTTCTACGACTTGTACTCGCACAGACCTCCACCGCCTGAAACACAAGATTATTATACACCTCAAGGTCAAATTCATGTTCCTCAGTACGGAAATACTTTTGGTGGTCAACAGCCAAATACTGATACAGGCGCAGTGCGGACCACAGCCCGCGTATGAACAGTACTACCAGTCTGACAACAGTGGAATACCGTATAAATCGTAACCATTTTTTTACATTTTCAAAGAAAGAGTCGTTTTTTATATAATGAACATATATATTAACTCTTTGTAAGAAAGACATTTGCCTCGTAATAAAATATTGTTGTAGTTGAAAAGTTCATCATATCGTTCCAGACAGCTTCCAGCAGTCATAGAAACAAGGCTTCAAAAGGGACGCGAATAGTATATACATTTAATCACCTATAGAACAAAAAAAAAGAAAGAAAAGAAAGTCATTGTTAAGAGAATATTGATCAAACTAATGAAATTATAATTATTTATCATAATTCCAAAGTTTTCTCTATTATGTTACGTATTATTTAACATAAATTGATATGTATGTATTGGCTGTTATAATAAACGTAGATTTTTCTTTGATTTTTACACCTCGAAATCACACAAATTTGGTACAAAATGCGAAATACTTTAATCAGCGATTTTCTTAGTCATTCATATAATTTTGTTGTAGTTTAGGTGTACAAAACTTTCGTGCTAAGAGGTTTACCTATAGGTACAGGGATCAAACAGCTTTGTGGCCTATTTTGTAGTACAGTCTATTTTATTTACAAACAATTTATAAAATTAGTACTTGTCAAGAAGCGCATTCAGATAAGCCTGAGCCACAATCGTGCATAAAAATGCATGTTTAAACTAATAAATCAAGTCTTTGTAAGGGACGAAGACCGGGTAACATAATAAACTAGTTCAGCAAAATTATTGCAGAAATTTTCACCTGATTGTTTTGCTTATAAATCCAAAATTTTCAAAGTATTGATTGAAGGCAATTTATAAATTTTGAGATTTTTTGGTACATTAGAACATTTTAACTCTCAATCGACAAAGCATTTCTTTAGGGGGTAAACAGGTCCGAGTGACGTCATTCAAAATGATTCTCGATTCTACCCAACGCCTACAGGATATGACTGCAGTAAACTGTTTATATTCTGGCAAACAAACCAGTATGTGCTCGTATGAAACAAATGTAAAAATATCTTTAATGAAAAGCGCGCAATTTTTTTTATGAAACACAAAAAAGTAAGTTTGTCAATGAATTTATTTCTTTATACATTTTGGAAGATTTTTTTGTTGTGATACAGAATTTTTTCTTAATACTTAAAGACCCTGTAACTCAATTTTTATGGTTTTATATCATAAATATAATGATCAAATGAAGATTTATCAATATTGTAAGTTCAAAAAAGCATTATTTGTAAAGATGCTAGTATACCGGATTAAAATTTCATGTTAATAAAGGGAGATAATTATAAATTTATTTTCTTTAATGCCTTAGTCAAATATTTCAATTAGAAATTAATGCATATATTTTAATGAGCACAAATATTTGCAGTACATATTTAACATATTCTTCGATGTTTGAAAATTGTTTTAGAAGCATAATCATACACACATATAAAATTCACAAAAGTGAGGCCGCCCGGTTAGCTCAATAAGGTGAGCGTTGGACTGTGAATCAGGCGACCCGGGTTCGATTCCCGGACAGTGCAGGATCCTTTGATCCTTTCTACGGTCGTTCACGCTATACCTCTGATCTGGCATGAACAGAAGTTTCAGTTCCTTTCGAAAGTGAAGGCAACTTGTACTGGTAAACTGCTTGACAACCTGCTCAGGAACGATGCAGTGGTTGAACTGTGCTCTGGTGAATTCAATGTGGCTTACTGCAGTGATTTGAAGCGGAAACTATCGACACCACCACCACTACAGGTTACAACCATAATTACATTATACAGGACCTAATTATATGGTTCATCTTATAGACATTCTTGTCGTTGGCTATATGCAGATGCAACAGATGACATAGAGGGATCTCTCATGTCGTATGATGTACGCACGTGTATTTTAATAATATACATGATATAAAGTTTTATATCTCATCTCTTTACTTATGTTACACGCATTAAACATGTAGGATACATTTCATTTGTTTATTTAAACATATAAACGCTTTAAAATAGCATTGTTTCTTGTTGTGTTTTATTTGTTGTTTTTTATGTATTGAATATAAGAGAGACAAAGAAGTTTATGTCATATGTATTCAATATTGTATCTAAAAAAACTCTTACATGATGTACATGATTCAAACATTTATAAGGTATCTTTCAATGACATATGTAGAGAGAATTTGGACATTCCTTTGAGAAGCTATTTCGGCCATTGATTTAATTTGCTTGACAAAGTTGAAGCCATGCTTCTTCGGTTAGAAGAAATAAATGAAAAAGATAGAGATTTGATTGTTGTTGTTGATGTTATTGGTTGCTTTAATCTGAAGTAGTATAATTGTTTCAAGCTAGCTTATGGAATGTTAATGAATTTACCTAAAAGGTCCCATGAAAACGATGGTTTTTACTTGAATCTGGACGTTTTCTATACTACGTGTGAATGCAAAACTATTGTCTGTACAAGATAGTAACGATCTTATTTGACTTTTATTTACTAGATGTCAGTTAATATCTAATACTAGAAATCTGGTTTTCTTAAAATGGAGATGAAAGACCTAATTGGATAACCACACATACACAGTACAGTTGGTGATCATTTTGAAGAAAGTATTAATATAGATAGGTAAAGTCTGAAATTATTATTATTAAAATAGAATTGCAGTATTTCACATGAATCTTAACACACTTACTTTGGTAAATCGGCCTAGGACATCGAGTTTTATAGAAAATAATTTCAAACACTTAATTGGTTAGTATTTCTGTAGTAAGTTTTTCTTAATTAAAATGGTCGAAAGACCGAGCCGTTTTTGACTCATTTTATTTTGTAAACGCTAACTAATAAACAATAATAATCAATACGTGATGTATTGTCTATTTCTTTGTGAATCAAGAAACCTAGTATGATTCAATATTCGTCACAAATATAATGTTCTTTTACATCACAGTATTCCTAGAAGCATTAACAGTTGAATTTAACTCTGACACAATTCCAATATTACCAGAAGTCGAACGATACTAGCAATTCACTATTATAATACAAACACAGAACCACACGCATTATTTTGTCAATATACAAATATTTTATTTATATACGATGAACAGTGTTATTTATACATGCATCGGAGATCGATTGTCCATATTTGATCGTATCATGACGCCGGGCTTGGAATCAACGTTCTGTATATACACAAACTCCTAAAAAAACATTCTGCGTTTGTTTATATTTTTATGCATTTTCACAAAAGATAGATCTATAGAAAGAAATTCAGTAAGTGTAATTATTAACTCAGCGAAACAACTCACGAGAATACCATACTCGTGGACTATCTACATAATGTACACAGTCCTACGCATAAACCCAAGATTTCCAGTTTTCCCAGTAGGTATCGCATCCACACCGCTATGTAACACCGCACTTTGGGGTCAATCGCACTTTGGGGTCCGACCCCAAAGTGCGTTAAACTTCGCACCGCACTTTGGGGTCAAACGCACTTTGGGATCAAAATCGAGAAATTGACCCAAAAGTGCGTTAATATGCTACATATCAACGCACTTTGGGTTCAAGAGGTCTAAAGGTGTCATCTGAGTTCTGCTTAAATACTGAGTACTGACTTATTTTCTATCTGCGACATTGGAATATTTGAGTTGGAGTTCAAGATGGCGGTCAATACTTTATGATGCTTAAGTGATAAAAGTTTCATTAATGTTACCACTTGAAACATCTAAAAATTGTGTTCATATAACAAAATAACGGTGGCATAAAAGTGACATTTGCATTTTTTTGTTTTTAGTTTTGTATACATATTTTATTTTAGTTTTGCATACATATTTTTTTCAGTTTTGCATTCATATTTTATTTTTGTTTTTCGTACATACGTTATTTTTGTTTTTCATATATATTTTAGCCAATCAAAACAGCCTTCAAATCTCAGCCCATAGTTGAGTATAAAACTAATTTACATATGGCGAAGTGTTTGAAAATGGTGTTTAACAACTCAACTCAACTCAAATAATTTTATTGGCATAAAACAAATAACAAGTTTATAGCCATACAAAATATAACCAGTTCAGTGATAATAGAAAGACATGCATGTTTATATCATTTACAGAAGAGTACTGTAAAGACAAATACATAGTATTTTTTTCTAAACATTTTACGAAGTAAGATTTTATGTGATAACATAAACAATTACAATACTATACGGCGACACTGTGTTAAATTTAAACTATACAGTATAATGATGTGTATTGATGTATATCTCTGTTTACCTAAAAAAAAAGCAATTCATGTACATAAAGTTATGATTTGGAGACACGTAATTTTGTTGCAAAATATATAAATTTCGACAAACTTATAATAGTTGCGTTTGATGTAGAAGACATAAGATTTTTAAATTTCGTTAACGTAGGCCAGTGACAATAATAGTTCTTCAAACATTTACGCCTTAGTTCTCTATATTTGGGGCAAACTAACAGAAAATGGTATTCATTCTCTAATATATTCATGTTGCATGATAAACAGACCCTTTGATCTCGCGGCACATTGTTATATATTCCGATTTCTATATTAAGTCTATGAGAAGAGGTTCTGAAGCGGGCTAAAGCATTTTTAAACCTTTGGTCAGTTATAAATTCCAAATACCGTTCTCTTTCGAAAGCGTGTTTAAATAAACTATATGTTTCTATACGTCTAGAATTAACCACCTCTGAATACCATCTTTGGAGAAAATTATCAATTATTCGTTGTTTAATCTCCAAAAAGGGTATTTGTGTGTATATATCGGATTGTTGCAACCACACATAGAGAAACCCGTGTTCTTGCAAAATACTCTTTATTAATTATACCTATTTTTAAGAAAAACGATCCCTGTGATGCTCGTAATTATAGAGGGATTACATTAGTAAGTTGTTTATCAAAAATTTTTACAGGTATTTTGAATAAACGAATTCCATGCTGGGCCGAAAATAACAGTAGATTGAGTGATGCGCAATTCGGATTTCGTCAAGGTCGTTCAACTACTGATGCAATTTTTGTTCTTAACGCTATCGTTCAAAATATCTTAAATGATAAAAATCGTCTTTATTGTTGCTTTATTGATTTAAAGCGTGCCTTTGACAGTGTATATTTAAATGGTTTATTTTTAAAATTATATAAGCTAGGTATAGGTGGCAAAGCTTTGCAAATTTTAAGAAGTATGTATTCACATGTTAAAACATGTGTAAAGGCTTGTAACTCTTACTCAGAATTTTTTGCATGCGCTGTGGGCTTGAAACAAGGGGAGATAATGTCGCCTCTACTATTTTCTCTTTTTATAGAGGACCTAGAACTTTTTTTACAGGATAGTCCGTTGTGTGGTTTAACTCTTGACGATATTACTTTTATTCTTTTATTATTTGCTGACGATATGGCTTTACTTGGTAAAAGTCCTGTGGAATTACAGCATAGTCTTGATTTGCTAAATGAATATTGTGATAAGTGGGGGCTTGAAGTCAACACTGATAAAACAAAAATTGATGTATTCAGAAAGCGAGGCCCGTTAAATGCAAACGAAAAATGGACATACAAAGGTAGCTTAATAGAAACCGTTAATAACTTTAATTATCTAGGCACTGTTTTTAATTACACAGGCTCTTATACTTTAAATCAGACGACATAAGTAGGTAAAGGATTAAAAGCTTTGAATGTTTTAATACATAAAACAAAACATTATGCCGTTAAACCCTCTGTTATGTGCCAACTGTTTGATGCTTTTGTTGCCGCCACCTTGAATTACGGATGCGAAATATGGGGCTTTGGAAAATCGAAAGAAATAGAACGTGTTCATTTAAAATTTTGTAAACAATTATTAAATGTTAAAATGTCAACATGTACAAATAGTATTTATGGAGAGTTAGGTCGATTTCCAATGTATATAAATAGATATGTTAGAATTATTAAATTTTGGTGCAAAACTGTATCGACGGAAAATATCTTGATCAGTAAACTATATGATTGTCTACTTCAAATTAAGAATAATAAAAATAATTGGGTTTATAATGTTAAATCTCTTTTAGATGAATACGGATTTTCCTATGTATGGTACAATCCAGGTTTAGTTGACTTGAAAAAATTTCATATTTTGTTTAAAGGAAGAGTTACTGATGTTTTTAAACAAAAATGGGAACGTAAGTTATCTACCAGTGAAGTATCGTATGGATATATTAAAAATAGTTTTGAATTTGAATCTTATATAGACATTTTACCTAAAAAGTTTAGAATTGCAACATCCAGACTGCGTTTATCATCACATAAACTGAGAATTGAAACAGGCCGATATGCGCCAAATAGAATAGACCGCAAGCAAAGAAAATGCTTACTTTGTAACAAAAACGATATAGAAGATGAATATCATTTTGTAATCATTTGCCCGTTTTACGATGAATTAAGAAAGTCTTTTATAAAATCTTATTATTACAGACATCCAAGTGTGTACAAATTTGTAGAATTGATGCAATCTAGGAATTTTAAAATAGTAAAGAATCTCGGTAAATTTTTGTATAAAGCTTTTTCTGTTAGAGCGAGTCAAATTGTTTAGTTTTTCATATCATTTATACAATCTACTAGTAAATGTTATTCGCATATTGAACTAAATCTAGGTTGTGTATAATTTTTGTATTCATAAACTGAATTGCAACTGTATTCACATACCCATCCTCCTTCTCCATGTGATAAATATTATTTTTTATTGTGGCGTGTGTGTGTTGGTGAACGTGTGTGCGTGCGTGCGTGTGTGTGCGTGTGCGTGTGTGTGTGTGTGTTAACTTTCTCCCACTATGTTATGCACTAATTTCAATGTTCCTATGTATGCCATTGTCATGTGATTGTAAATTTGTATCATATATTATTAGTTATAACGAAAAACTTGTAAAAGTTTAAGTTAATAAAGTATCTATCTATCTATCTTTATTTGAAACGCCCAGTTACCCTCGTTAACATTACCTAGCTCGCAATCAGTTTTCAACATAATGTAAACCTTTTTCTGAAGTAACAAATGGTGTAATTATCCAAACCTCTACTTTGCAAATGGCGTAATGTAAAAATATGTAAGAAAAAACAAAAATAAAATATGTACAAAAAACTAAAATAAAATATGTATGCAAACTAAAAAAGAATATGTATGCCAAACTAAAATAAAATATGTATGCAAACTAAAAAAGAATATGTATGTAAAACTAAAAAAAAGTATGTATTCAAAACTACAAGTAAAGAAAATATCTACGACAAACAAACAAAAATATTACGAAAAACAAAAAAGTAGAAAAAAATACAAATGTCACTTTTATGCCACCGTTCAAAATACTCTAGTACAGAAATTATGTATTCCTAGAATTAAAAGATGCTGCGAAAAGTATCCCGTTCTGTCGATCATTTACTTGATAACTTTTGGTGCCATATTGAGCCCCATTTTAAATATGTTGGGAATGAAAAAAATGCAGTTAATGTCTTTTTCCAAAGAACTATGAATATACCCTATTGCAATGTTCTGGTGAATTTTTTTTTCGATCGGACTATAAATAGTGATTTTTACAAAAACATTATTAAGCTTATCAACAACCATAAGGGTTTTTGTAAGCTCCAGAACAACCGTTCGCCAGAGGCTTTTTTATGGGAAATCTTACATACTTCTTAAGAAAGAGCAAACATGAATTTTAAAATGTTAAAATAATGGTATCTGAGAAATGTAAGATGCTTGTTACCTGAATAAAGTAGCGATAACTGTGAAATTATTCGTCATAAAAGAAGTCAAAACACTGTAGTATTTGACTTCCATATAAAATACTAATTCACTATAACTGTACTCATCATTGCCAAAAAGCAACAGATGAAAAAGATGGTTCAGGTAATTGACCAATGTGTATTTGTGAAGAACATCAAAATAAAAAAGCTTTTAAGAAAAACAAATAAAAGCATACTGTGCCTTTAAAACGTTATTTTTAAACCTCGGGGGGATCAATACCCCACAATCCCCTCTATACCCCCAAAGAGAATTTTACATTATACTGAAGCTCCGCTCTTAATGTGCGACTACTTAAATAGTTGACATTTTTAGTACTGCCTGTACGGACTACTACTTAAAGCCGCATCTATACCTAGTCAAATTTCTTATGTGTCACATTTAGCTAAATAAATGGCCTTTTCAACATATTACCAGGCACATTTTTTACTGAAATGTCTTACTAAGATTTCCCAGAATTTATACCTTTGTCTATGCTAAGACTATCATATTTCTTAAAAATGTGTAAATAAAAAACGGGAAAAATATGCATTTAGCTAAAAACAACGGAGTTAATGAAAGGTGTACATTCTTTTAAAATAAATGGAAAATTTGAGAAAAAATATTTTAAGCTTAACAGTAGATACAAATTCTTTATTTGGTGATTTATTTGGTGAAAGTTCTTCACTTACTAATCAAGATCATTTAAATCCCTATTGATTCTACTATAATTCAGGGCACATGTTTGTGTCTATTTAATGCCTTGCTTTTTTGTTTACCATTGGCTTTGACTACAATATATTATTTAAAACATAATGAACTTTAATTTTCTATGACCCCAAAGTGCGGTCGTTTGCCTGGTGTTAAAAAATGCATATGTACCTGTTTAACGCACTTTGGGGTCGAAATTGGACCCCAAAGTGCGTAACGCACTATGGGGTCCGACCCCAAAGTACGTAACGCACTTTGGGGTCCAACCCCAAAGTGCGTTTGACCCCAAAGTGCGGTGTGACACCGCTATCGCCTTAATCTGTACATGTGCTAATTTGCATACATAGCGTCAAATATTGGCCTAATTGTTATTGTCTAATCGTTTGATATATGTGAATGCAAAGCCTAACGATGCCCTTCTCTGAATCACAACAAGTACCCCACATCACCACCCTGTTATTACGGTGATATCACCGTGATAAAAGGTATCTTTTTAAAGGTATTAAAATACATGTGTAACTTTGCAAAGCTTTGCTATGTACAAGGCATTTATAAAACATGTATGTATGCGCTTGATAACGTTATGATTTATAGGGCAGTTCTGCATTGTTGGGCACATATCGCTGCTCGTAAGCTGGTGGAAATCCATATTGTTCATCCGAGGTTCTCATATATCCGCTGTCCATATTTCCTTGGACAAGGCATTGACCTTGAGCTGTATAATGTACCGCAGATTCATTCAATGTGCCCGGGGAATAAGAACATAAATCTTTCACATAGAGAGGCGCGCACACGAGTATACTAAGGCAGCCTGCAACACCACACAGGAAATAAGCGTAATTAAGCTTGGCGTCAACTTGGTCAATTTCCATTTCTGATGTTTCAATTTTACCCAAGTCTTTAAATAACTCAAATGTATCTGTTTTGACTTTGAAAACGACCAAACCAATCACCACCAATGTACCTGAAATGATAATAATTCTATAAAAATATTCGCTAAAAGACGTTATGTCTTAATATGTGGCACTTAAATACCGAAATTTGAGTACGCAACTACCTGCAAAATATGTGGAACATTTGATGATATATGGGAAAATGCAATACGTTATAATATTCAATTCTACTCTACTAGTATCACCAACGTCTAACAAAATAATTATATGCACATGAACACATCAGTGGATATTTCGAATTCCAAATTTCACCACTTTCGTGGTTAATGTTGAATACTAGTCAAGTCGATGCTAGTGTACGTGCATTGACGGTAGCTTGAACTTACTAGTAGTCCGTCCATGTAACATTTTCAATTTTTGCCGTTTTTGGCATTGGTAAGGGACTATTTTTTCTACCAATTGCACATGAAATTGGTAACAAGAATATTAATACATATGAAACTAGTTTTATGACTCCAATCAAAGTTTTCTCCGGAATTTGACGGAAAGAGTCGAGAGGCCGGGAGTGATTATTATTGACTTCGTTTGTTCTAAACTACATGTTTATACTAATTATCAATTACCTGAGACCAGTAGAATCAGGACGTTGGCTATCATAAACTTCTTGTTATGTTGATAGAAAACGTGGTCAGTGACAATAACATAGACACGACTAGTCCAATAAGTCCGAGGGTTTCCGCAGCCTGTACCATGTTGAACCACACTAGTAAATAAAATTTAAAAATGTCAGGAATGTTATCAAAACAAAATATGATCATTATTACTGGACACACACAAAATTATTGGATTTGATTTCAAAAAAACCTGATATTATATGTTCTTTATATACAATGACACCACGAAAATCCACACTCATTAAAATATTAATTTCATGCTTTTTGATAGATTTTTGGGATTTTCTGTGAAAAATTTAGTTTTACTATTAGTTTTAATATCAAAATATGATTTTTTTCTTTTGATATATTCTCAAAGGTTGCCTCTGACGAACTTAGTATTTTGCCCGAGGAATGAATATAACAAAATTGGTTATCATCGAGTGAGCTTCTGAGATAATAATCTAACGAGTGAACCTTTCGTTAAATATGCAGAAATTATGAGTCATCATAGAATCAAATTTAATTTAAAGTGTATTGATTACAAATCGCAACCTTTTCGGGCCCCCTCCCTTGAAATTTAGTAAGGTGGTTGGTTTTTTTTGGGGAATCGACATTGGTAATTACTCAACCCTAAATCAAAGCATAAAAATTGAGTTTAAAATTTAACCCGGGTTTTCCAAAAATTTTTTTGTTCATAAAACCCCAGTTAAAAAACTAGTAATTTTTACTTTCCCCGTTAAAACGCCTTTCGAATTAAGGTCAATTTCAGGTCCCCAGTTTTTTTTGTGAAGGAGGGGTTTAAGTAGGGGGAAAATAAAAAAAATTTATGGAAACCCAAATTTGGCAAAGGGATTGGCAGTTTGAAGTTTATTAGGAAAAAAGAAAGCAATTTCCCTGATATTTTTTACCCAACCCAAACCCGACCAAATGGTACTTTTGGGCTTTAAACAAAATAAAAAAGGGAAAAATCAAAAGAGTTGCCAAATTACTGGGGGAGAAAATGTGGCGAAGAAAAAAAAAAGAAAAAGGGCAAAAAATGATGGATGTTGGGGAGTGGAGAGAAAAGGATGGCAACGGACTTTGGTTTTTTTTTGGGTTTTTGGGTGCGAGGTTCCCCGCCCCAGTCAGTTGGGAAAGGGTTTTTTGCAAATTTGGGGGTGACTTTGGGCCCGAAAAAGAAGGCAGCAATCAAGAAATGGGGCCCAAACAGCGAGAAAAATCTTTCTGGGTTGGTGAAGAGGAAAACGGTTAAATAGCTGGAAAAACCCCCCCCCCAATGGCCCGGGGATTGATCACCAATGTGGCCCCCCTCCTGAGGTGGGGAGCTGGGGCGAAAAACATGATGACGGATGGCCTTGGCTGAGGACATTTTATGGTGTTTTTGCAGTTATTCCCATTTTGTATGTAAGTAACTTGTAATCTGGACCTACCAGTGACTGCTGGGAAAGGACGGCTGACAACCAAGAATAGAATGGTGACGTCTGGAGAGGACAGATGGCATTCGGGAAAAGACTGAAACCAGGTGTGAAGGGTTGGCATCCCAACACACGGTTCCCTGTGAAGGAACACCATACCAAGCTACAGAACAGAATAAAGAGCAATACCCCCAGGGTCTTCCGAGAGGGGGGGAGGATGAGAGGACCCATTGAGCAGGATAAACGGTAACAACTCGGCTAATCCAACGGACTTTGACTGGAACAACGGGCAGAAACCAAGTGTCATTGTGGGAAAGTTTGCAAGAACTTAAAAGGTCTGAAGATTACACCAGGCAAGAACTAAGTGTGGATCTGGGAAGCAGCAAAGGGAACGCACAGTTAACACTGATGAGACGATGGAGGACCACGCCAGGAAGCACACCACGTGTGCAGGACCTCTTACCTAATAAAGCTCTCGTAAACATGAGGAGGGCAGGGAAATCAAAACCAGGAAAAAACATCACCCCTGCCAGCAGAGGAAAAAAAGTTACAAGGGCCCACCAAGATGATGGAGATGGGGATTTTGTGAAGCCCTGACAAATCTTGGAAACCATTCGGGAGAGTACGGGGAAAGATTCGGCATTGTAACTATTGTATATGCGTGGCAGATCGATTGAGTTGTAACACCAAACCAGAAAGGAAATCAGGGAAACATGAAGATAAAGACGTCAAAGAAATACAAACATCAGACCAAAAAAATATGTAAAAAGCATATAAAAGAGCAAATGGGGAAAAAAGAAAAGGTTGAATGAGTTAAGTCAATCTGAGGGAAAGAAAAAACAATTAAAAAGAGCAGAAAGAATCAGAAAAGCAAGGAGAGAAAGAGGGAAGAAGAGAGCAATGTTTGTTGCCAACCCCTACAAGTTTACCAAATCAACACTGGACGGAACAAAGGCGGGATCAGTAAAAAGCACAAAAGAGGAAGTGGAAAAACATCTATCAGAGACACACAGCGACGAAAGGCAGTGGGAACATCTAGGCAACTGTGATAGGATAGAAAAAGTACCAGAACCAGAAATACCAATGAACACTAAGGAACCATCATGGAAAGAAGTGTCAGATGTAGTGAAGAAAGCCAGGTCTGCATCATCACCAGGACCAAACGGCATCCCGTACAAGGTATATAAGAAGTGCCCAAAAATTTTGAAACACCTGTGGAGGATACTGAAAGTAGTTTGGAGGAAAGGGAAGATACCATCATGTTGGCAGAAAGCAGAGGGTTGTTTTATTCCAAAAGAAGAAAAATCGGAGGACATCACACAATTTCGGACAATTTCCTCCTCAATGTAGAAGGAAAGATCTTTTTCTCTATTATGGCTAGAAGGATGACATCATATATGACAGATAACAACTATGTAGACACTTCAGTACAGAAGGGCGGAATACCAGGATTCTCAGGATGTATTGAACATACGTGCATCATTTCACAACTTATTCAGGAGGCCAAAGTGAACAAGAAAGATCTTACAGTAGTATGGCTAGATTTGGCCAATGCTTATGGCACTGTTCCTCACATGCTGATACAGGAGTCATTAGATCATTACCATATTCCCGACCACTTTAAGAAAGTGATAAGAAGTTTATCTCAGTGGGATTCAGCTGCGATTTACAACAAGCACATTTACAACAACATGGCAGAAACTACAAAAAGGAATAGTTACAGGATGTACCATCTCAGTTATCTTGTTTGTCATGGGAATGAATATGATTATTAAATCTGGAGAGAGAGAAACTAGAGGCCCAAAAACATCAACTGACATCAGGCAACCACCAAAATAGAGGGTTCATGGACGATTTAACCATCACTACAGAAACCCATGTCCAAGCTAGATGGGTATTAAAGGCATTGGAAGAGACAGTAACATGGGCAAGGATGTCTTTCAAGCCAAAGAAGTCTAGAGCTCTAATAATAAGGAAAGGGAAGAGAGCACACCAAGTCGAACTGAAGGTGCAAGGAGAAGTCATTCCATCAATAATTGACAATCCCATCAAGTGCTTAGGAAAATGGTATGATGACTCTTTAAGTGACAAAAACAATATCAAAGAGAATTGAACAACAGGTTTCAGAGGGAATGAGGAACATCGACAAGACAGGTTTACCAGGGAAATTAAAGGCATGGATATACCAACATGGACTCCTTCCAAGGATATCATGGCCACTTATGCTGTACGAAATTACATTGACAACAGTTGAGAAGCTTGAAAGAACCATCAACAGACATCTTAGGAAATGGTTAGGTGTCCCTCCAAGTTTTTACAACTGTAGGACTGTACAGCAGAACCCGCAAAGTTGCAGCTACCCTTTACATCTCTAGTGGAAGAATTTTAAAGTTAGTAAAAGCCGACCTTGTGATGACACTGAAAGAATCTAGGAGATGATAAAGGTAAGAATCAGCAGGTGTCCAGGTAAGAACAGGACGAAAATGGTCAGCATTTCAAAAGCAGTTCAGAGGCAGAGAGTAGATTGAGGATAAAGATGATTGTAGGAAAAAGTGGCAGTAGGCGAAGGGGGCCTTTTGGTACATCAAAAAGTTGCTACTGGAAGAAAACGCTGAAGCACCCAAGAAGACGAAGTCTTGTCAAAAGAGAGATAAAATCTAGAGAAGAGAAAACAGACAAACAAAGACAGTAGAATTAGGGAGCCAAGGCGCTTGTCGAGATGGGAATTGGAACAAACGATCCCTAACATGGTCAGATATTTGGCGATATCCGCAATACCAACTGCAGTTCCTTCTGAGATCAGTGTATGATGTGTTACCGACACCTTCAAATCTGCACAGGTGGAAACTTTCAGAAACACCAGATTGTCCCTTGTGCGGAAACAGAGGAACTCTACAACATGTTCTTTCAGGGTGCAATATCGCTCTTACACAGGGGAGATATACATGGCGACACAACCAAGTACTCCGAGAACTCGCTGAAGTGATAGAGAAAACAGAGGAAAGATGCAAAACACATTAGAAACAAACCTATGAAGATCCAGTTTGTGAAGGAGGGTGAAGTAGGCCAGGAAAGTAAAAAGATCATATCAGGAATCCTAAATCAGGCAAGGGATTGGCAGTTAGAAGTTGATCTAGGAAAGAAGATGCAATTTCCTGATATTGTACCAACCAACCTAAGACCAGACATGGTACTTTGGTCTACAAGCAGTAAAAAGGTAATAATCATAGAGTTGACAGTTCCCTGGGAGGAGAGATGTGGCGAAGCAAATGAAAGAAAGAGGGCAAAATATGATGGACTGTTGGCAGAGTGCAGAGATATAGGATGGCAGACATGGAACTTTCCTGTTGAGGTTGGCTGCAGAGGCTTCCCTGCACAGTCAGTGTGGAGAATGTTTTCTGCAGTGGGAGTGACTGGCCAGAATAGAAGAGCAGCAATCAAGAAACTGGGCCAAGCAGCAGAGAAAGCATCTTGCTGGATATGGATGAAGAGAGACAGTAGTAGCTGGAAACCCACCACCAATGCGCAGTGATTGATCACCACTGTGGACCCCCCATCCTGAGAGTGTACCGAGCTAGGGGTCGAAACACATGATGACGGATGGCCTCGGCTGAGGACATTGATGGTGTTTGCAGTTATTCCACCAGTACTGTATGTAAGTAAATTTAGTGGAGACAGACAGAAGCTGTTTACTGCATGATAAGCCTCCAGAAAAAATTTAAAGAGAACTTCAAGTTATTTCACATTTATTATACTTTAATTGTTAAAATAAGCAGTTGTTATTAGCAAAAAATACATCTTTCATATTTCAGATATTTGTGAATTATTTGATGTTTTTGTCTGTTGTTTTATTTTGGGATTTGTTTTATGTAGAAATTAAGGATATTACATAATGGTGAATAAAAAAGTTAAGGGTTAAAAAACTAATGAATATATTAAAAATGAAATATTCAAATGAAATATTTTTTTTTTATAAAATTAAAAGAGATGTTTCCATCTCTACGGTCAGCTCTCAACATAGAATTTTTCTTTCATTGAAAACACATGAAAACTGCATTAAAAGAATAAAATGTTGCGGAACAAAATATAATGCTACTACTTTAATAACAAAACAAAACATATTTATTCATACAGACATTCTTATTCCAATTTATGGATGCTCAAAAAGGCAAAACACAGAAAACACAATGTCATTACTTTGATTCCTAAATACTAATTGTGAAGAAGGGATGCATGGACAAAAGCTATAAAAACATTGGGCTAAGAAAAATAAATACTTGGCAATCAACGAATAATTCTTTGTATGCATTTTACGTTTCATACTGTGACCAATTGTTTTTGCTTCATGATCTTTACTATGTTTTTATAACATAATTAATTATTAAGTAACTGTCTAATAATTTCTCCATTCCAAGAAGTAAATTAATTGTTTGCAAAAAATTGAAGTTAAGCCTTATATTTTTTACAGGCTTTTCTACAGAAGTCGAAATATTTTAAATGACTGGGTTGTGCATTTTAGAATTTAAAGACTATCTGAATAATTTGGATAGATGTGAACACAAATACATATTGTATATGTATTTAAGCCAGTCTGTTTTCATTTTTTTCTGTATTCTGATATTTTTGATAATATTGGTAGTTTTGAATTGTATATATGAAACTGAGTTTATGCCTGAGGTTAAAAATAAATAAAAGATGATTTAAAACAAATCAATGACAATTTAGGTTGCATGGATTTGATCTATCAGTTAATCGTTTTGTCTGCAGAAATGGATAGTTCATCAAAGTAAAAAACTAAATATACAGACATAAACTATAAAGAGTAAAGTCATTTTGAGCATGTGTAGACTTTTTAGGCTATTAGCAGACAGCTTTTAACCTGTGGTTAGTAATGATATGCAGCGTTCTATTTTTAGTAATTTTGAAAGGGGTCTATTATGCTATTTTCGTGTCTGTGCAATATCTCGAACGAAAATATCTCAGAATCTAGCTATGGCACGTCAATATATTCTGACAAGATAAAACTATACACTTACTTGGATCATTTGTTCTGGAGAAACATAGACATGCACCGGTGTTTAGAAATTTTGATTTTGCACATCCACAATGTTGCCAGAGACCAGCATGATAACCAGTTTCTGTTGTCTGCCCTTCTACATGTTCTGTAACTGTTAATTCTACAGAAATCCATCGTGGTAAAGAAAATCCAACTATATGAATAACTAGCACAACAAGTAAAATAATTGTTGCAGATTTAAGACTGCTAGAACTAGAAGAGAGAGCTCTAATTGCCATTGTTTATCTAGAATCCACACACATTCCTAGACTATGATTAAATCTCCACTGAACAACGTTCTGTTTCAGGCTTCATATTGATCTACGAAGAAAACGCTCGTGTACATGCCAGTACGTTCACTGATAAACCGCATGTTCTTTTCATCTTGTAAACATAACCCAATATCCGATGGGAATTTAGAGACTTCATACTTATATACGCTCGTTTTAACAAAAATATCATTGTTACCTTACTTAGCAGTAACCGTTAACAATAAGTCGTTCCTTTAATAGCTCTTTACACAAATTACTGTTCAATAGTCACTTTTATTGGAATAGAGATTAAAATAGAATTAAAAAAAGAAGAAGAAATAAAAACGATGAAAAGTCTGAAATAATGAAACCACGATGGTGCTGAAAACTCCATGTAATTTCGTGATTTCCTTATGGTTCTTCCGACTTTTCACCATCGTTGTTATTTCGATTTTTTTCACCATCGTACTATCGTATATTTTCCATTTTTAACCATTGTGGTTTCCTTATTTCGACTTTTCAGCAATTCGTTGTTTTCGCGATGGCCATAACGGGACACCGTCGAAGTACTTTAATTTGATTAAATGTATTTGCTAGCTTGAAAAATAGTTCAAAATACATTTTAAATTCGTTTAAAATACATTTTAAATTCGTTTTGTAACCAAAAAGCAGTTTTCTTATTCTACGGCAGCAATTACATGTGATAGTAACACATTAACTTCCATTTATTATATTCCCATTTAATAAAGTACCATTACATTTATATTTTCACAACTTAATAATAATAATAATAATCATCATCATCATCATCGCCATCATCATCATCATCATCGTCATCATCATCACAACATATCTTATATCATTCCCTGCGGTCTGGAGACCGCAGGGTATTGGTACGCGTTTAACTTTTGAGGCATGGAGGAGCACGTGACCTGTTTTCGGTACATGGAGGAGCATGTGATCTGTAAACCGTACATGATTGGTTAATTGACCTTTTCGAAATCCTAGCTAAATACCGTTTGCCGGTACGTTACGGATTTACCTGTAGGGAATTAGTCCGAATTACCCCTAATTAAGAACAAAAACTTTTACGTGATTTTTCTAATTTTCTATAATTATTTTACCGTTTATTGGTGGAAAAACTTGAATGATGTGTTTGAAAATTATCAATGTTTCTTTAATATCTATCTCAAATTTTACAAACAATAAATTGTTTATACTGAAAATCTACAAAGTTAAAATATTCGTAGTGGCATCTGCCATAATAAATAGAGATATTTTCTGCGTAAACTTGTGTGTTTACTTTATTTATTTTTTTGCTCGGAATTATTCATAAAATGGTAGGCCTATTTAATCATTTTCTTAAAAAGAAATAATTGTTTTATGTTCGACCTTCTCCGGTCTTCAACGGTCATCAGTTTCCAAAGACCTAGCTTCTTCTATATTGATCGTTTATTCAATTGTCAACTATATTCTTGATACAAACGTTTATTTATCCCCCCCCCCCAAAAAAAAAAAAAAAAAAAAAATAATAATAATGTTGAAAATAGTTAAATGAAATATCTTTATATCATTAAAATGTTCAACGCAGGAAACCATTTTACTTGTTACGTTTATTTTTTATGTACAGTACAACGCTGAAATAAACAAATTCATATCCAAAAGAATACTAATATGTGGTTTATAATATATGACGTCATACCCATTACGAAATTATATAGAATACACATAAAGAATAAATAATTGAAGCGATAACTACACATTCAAAATGATATAGAACAAACATTTCTGATATCACGCCCGATAAACAGTAATGTTATTGCCTATAGCAAGGTTTTCATTTTGTCAATATACTTTCTGCAATCAACAAAAAGCCATTGATTATCTGTGCAATTCCCATGCAGTTATATAATTTTCAACATGTGGGGAAAACAGATAAGGATATCGGTAGTTTGTCATTCCAGTCAGTTCCTTGATTTTAACATCACTCATCACATTGTAGATTATATAGATCTAACCCGTTTCTTTCTGTCTGCTATACAGAAATATAAACTTTGTAAAAATTAACGCGCTAACTTTATTTAAAAAATGTGCGAACCCCCTAAATAGCATGTACGTCATCAGAAAGCTAATATTATAGCACTAGGCTCCACCACTTCTACGCTTAACATTACTAAAAATCTTTGCTACAACTGACAATAACTTTGTTTTTATGAATGGATTGTTTTCACACTTGGACACAAAAATGTTAAGTAGAAAATCAAGCTGAACTTCACCTGCAGGAATATGCATAATGGTATTTTTACTATTTTATTGATTGCTATAATTGGCTACAAATTGGTTTTGCAGGAATGAATTGTCTTAATAATTGGACACAACAATCTTTGGGACAAGTCCCTTATGAAGACTAAACTGAAAATCGACTCAGAAATAACATAACCTTGATCTGAAGGGTCATATCATTTTATTTTTTGTATGCTAAATTGGCAAAAAAAAAACAACCTTTGTAATTTATATAAGAATTGTCTTTATACATTGATATAACAACCCTAAGGACAAGGCCTTTCTAGTTTGATGAAACTTGGCGTTTATTCAATCTTGGCCTTTATGGTCAAATTATTGAATTTTTCTAACTTTGTTAATTATTTAGGGATTTCGTTCATACTTGAACAAACCAACGCTAGTGACCAAACCAACAGATTGAAAAATTATTGAAATATGACATTTACTTTTAAATGACCTATCAAAGTGAAATCATCTTTTTAGCTTAAAGTGTTATTATTTGATATTTTCTGTCGGATTTGATTCATACTGGGGATCGCACCAAACATGTAAGATTAAATCCATGGTCAAGTTAAAGAATTTAGCTTGACATATGTAATTTAGCTTGACATGTGTAGATTAAATTGTTATTGCATTCTTACTTATCATGTCATTATATTTATTTCTGTGATAAAGTGCATGCCTGATAAATTTAGTTCAACTTTATCAGGCACCTCATCAATACATATTGAAATAAAACGAAGAGAATATTTTACCTATTTTACTAGTTTGAAAATATTTAATAAACTGATAAACCTATAATCGAATTCATTTTTTATTTTAAATTTTCACTCACATCTGACTAAAACATTCGGAACTATTTCTTAAAGATACATGTATGACCCTTTGTAAATAACTACGCACGGCATGAACTAGAGAGGTTCTTGACAGGTTTGTTTCATTTGAAATTTAAAGAAAGAATCACATATTAAAATTGCAAACATGAAAAATAGAATATCAAACAAGTGTCTGATATTATAAAATTTATCAGGCTCGACACGAAGAAAATGAATGTCTCGGCATAGCCTCGTCTTTCTTTATTTCTTAGCCTTGCCTGATAAATTTTGTAATATCAGACCATAGGGTGATATTTATTTAAGAATTTAACTGGCACTTGGACATAAAGACATTTATGAAGAAACCGAAATGTTGAATTATCTTTTTTTTTGACATTGATCTTAAAATTGTGACCTTCATTGAACGCCGCCTTTCCTTGTTGATCATATTTTTGATCATATTGGTCAAATGATTAAGTTTGCTGAAATTGAGATAACTAGCTGTTATTTATTTACAGATTATAAGCATTATATTACGAAATGATTTATACTCGTATTTCTACCATTTTATATGTTTATCTCATAAATACTAGTATTTATCTTTTATATAATATGAACAAGCGATCAACAAAATAAGTCGTCCCACGATCTTCCCAACAAAATCGAATGGAATTCAGAAAACAGGATCTTGAAAATCTCGATTCTTCATATTTTTACAAAACAAACAGTGTGTATTTGTTTACAAACTACACTGGTGATGATAGAATTCATATGGTGTGTTGGTATATAAGTTTTACTCTCTGGTATACAAGCTTCTACTTCACATAAACATCGGAGTTGATAGATAAGTGCAAAACAGCAACCTGATTTCAGTGATCCTGGATACATTCCAAATGTTAGCAGTGTTTATTTTCAGAAAATGCAAAATGCGTGGTTGAGTAATAGTGGCGCTGTGGGTTAACTGATTCTTTTTTGCCAGAACTAATACGTAAAAAATGGCGAATAATACATTTTCTTCCAGTTCTGTGAGTCTGAAAATCGGCTTTTTAATTTTGTTAGTTGTTACGATAGTTCACATAATTGGATTTTCTATACCAAGATGGATTACACTGGAAATAAATTTTAGGCAGCGCTACCCCGAATCTGCATACCACGGCGGTCTCTGGCAACACTGCGGATGTGCTTCCGTTATAAGGTCTGGTGTGTGCCTTTGTGTCTCAAGGACAAATGATCCAGGTAAATATTTCTCGAACAAATCAATTAAACTTTTAAAAATGTAGTTATTGACATAATGCTAATTTTTTCCTTTGTCAGTTTGAGTTGAATTAGATATATATTTCGAAAGTCAAAATATGTCGACGCGCCAAAGCTAGATTCTGAGATATTTTCGTTCTGGGCCAGAACACAGGTGGCAGTATCAGTGTTTGGACACCCACCCCTATATGCCCCTGGACCCCAACTACAACCCTGAAAAAAATAATTCAACACTAATTAAGGCTTACTATAAGGTACCAAATACAAAACCACCGATGAAATTATATATATAAAAAAAAATTTTCCACTATCAAAATTATAGTTATAGAAAGGTGAAAAGCCTACTATATGTTCATTTGCCAAACAATGTGGAACACGGGAAATCGTCGTTTCGGCGACTGAGGCGCATTCCGGCGGGATTTCGCTGCATCATTCATTAACATCAATAAAAAGAACGAGAATTCCACAGCTAATCTGATTCAAGTCCAACGAATATCACTATCATTCCGATTTTTTTCTGTTTCACGGTATTTTTTGAATTGTCGTAGCCATTTTGCAGTCTGATACCTGGGTTGAAATACGCGATCTGATTGGACGAGCCAAATTGGACGTCCAATCAGATCGCGTATAACACACAGGTATCAGAATCCAAAATGGCAACGACAAGTTAAAAATTACCGTGAAATAGAAAAATTCGATGTAATATTGATATTCGTTGGACTTGAATTAAGTAAGCTGTGGAATTCAAGTTCTTTTTATTGATGTAAATGAATGATGCAGCAAAATGCCTTCGGAATGCGCCTCAGTCGCCGAAACGACGATTTTCCGTGTTCCACATTGTTTGGCAAATGAACATATAGTAGGCTTTTCACCTTTCTATAACTATAATTTTGATAGTGGAAAATTTTTTTTTCATATAATTTCATCGGTGGTTTTGTATTTGGTACCTTATAGTAAGCATTAGAGTGTTGAATTATTTTTTTTCAGGGTTGTAGTAGGGGTCCAGGGGCAAATAGGGGTGGGGTGTCCAAACACTGATACTGCCACCTGTGGGCCAGAATCTCACTTCTTTGTAGAGTCGAGATATTGCCCAGGCACAAAATAGCACAATATCTCGTCGCGCAGTACAATTTATTTGGACTAATATTTCGAAAGAATGACTTTTGCGGATTGACCAATAACTAATAAGACATATTTAGGATATTATATAAAAACTGCATAAAATGTAAAAGAACTGCCCCACCTTTTTTATCAACTAACAGCCTAACCGATGAATTCTGAAAACAATTCATAGGAAATTCATGTGCGTCGTGGGTTCTTGATTATATTCATTTAAAGTAGGATATTGGAAATAATTATGGCAAAACGTTAACATTTATAAGCAAACGGTTCCTAATCGAGCAAATAAAAAGATAAAAAAGTTTTTGTTTTCACGATACACTGTGTAATTTATAAAATGTAAAATATTTGGATTATTTCTGTTAGAACCGCCCAATATTTCATAACGGACACACAAAAGGATTATTCTAAAACAGCGTATATATACATATATAATTGTACTTTCCGGTAGCTGATGGAATAATAAAAGTACAATGTAGCTGGTTTAATAAGCTATCAAACCAATGAAAGAGAATACTGCACTTGTGCCCGGCTCTTGTAAATGTCAGATAAACCTGACATTTAACTACATGTAAATGAATTCCAGAAGTTAAGATATTCATAGTATAAATAATTTTATTTAAGAGAAGCCACATATTTTGTAAATCGGTAGGCAAATTATTCAAATAATTTTTTTTGATTTTCTGTTATATATATTTTGTTTGTGGTAGATTAACTTGCTTTTGTATGGTAGCTCAACTTTCTCTTGAATTATACAAACATTAAATAAATACAATTCGATGTTTTACTCAAATATAGCTCGCAACCATTCGTATGTAAGGATTTTAAGGGTGGGTATTTAACGAAAAATCTAATGTATACAACGTCATGAATTTTAAAAAGTTCCATTCAAATATGATGTTTTTCTTTTCATAAAAATTATCAATCAAGTTTTCGTATGTACGTTCAACACTGTTATCAGGGCATTTTCCACATGATCACTTTGTCATAGTTATGGTGGCTGATTTGGTGCGCTTTTGTGCGTCTCGTTGGCGCTAGCGACAACAGGACAACGTGACAAACGGCGCGTTGTCGCGCTGTCGTCTTGTCGTCCTGTCTCTAGCGCGGCACGCAATGTCGCGATGTCACATTGTCACTCGGTTCAAATTGAAGGACTGGCTTATAAACCAAACGACAGGGCGACATCGAGACAATGCGCCGCAAGACAACGCGCCGTTTGGCGTGCCGCGATAGAGACAGGACGACAAGACGACAGTGCGACAATGCACCGTTTGGCGCTTTGACATGTTGTCGTAAGCGACAGGACGACAAGACGACAGTGCAACAACGTGCCGTTTGGCGCTTTGTTGTGTTGTCGCTAGCGCCAACTAGACGCACAAAAGCGTTCCAAATCAGCCACCATACATAGTTGTGTTTGACACACTTTTACCCAAGGACTTGGATTAGGAAAACGCACCGTTCAATTCATAATCGGTGAAACATTTTGGTGATCCATATAAGGTTGATCCTTTACTCAATTTATAATCCCAATAGGGTTGATAAGGTTTAATTGTACATGTATATATTTGTTCTCAAGTTTTATATATTATAATTTCATATCATAACAGGATGGTTTAAGATTGTACAAACTACAGAAACACTTGGTCTCATTGGTCTGGTTTTATCGGTGTTTATATCTGCAATCATGCTGTTCTACAAACAAAACAAACGACACAAGACTCTTAACATCTGCTGTATGATACTGTCAGGTAAATTATCTCATAAATGTTTTATAAAATGTGTATATTATATATAAGTCAATATAATAGGACAAATATATCAGAACCAACCCAATGTTAAATATCAATACATGTTTCGCTTTATTAAAAGTTTTTGGTTTTATTCTGATTCATGCTTGTGCTCGAAACAATAACAAATTAGGATACCAAAAGTATTAAGCTAGTATCCTTTTAATGATCTGAAAGGAGAATTAAAAGATCGAAATATTAAACCATAAACAACTATAACTTTCTATGTTAAAATTTGTATTGGCCGATTCTACCATGTCAAACATATATTTGATTTCTAATTTAATTAGATATATTGATTAAACATTCAATATTTCTTTCAGGTTTGTTGATTTTCATTGGTGTGATCTGGTTTGGGATCAAGTCTAGGGAACCTTTGGACGCATTTACCAGATCTTCCAGCCATTTCTATGAGGAAATTCCCGTGGGAAAATTAAGTTATGCTTATATTCTCTGCATTATTGCGGGATTTCTCTGTATATTTGTGTGCACGCCTCTCTTTTTCTACGACTTGTACTCGCACAGACCACCACCACCTGAAACACAAGTTTATTATACACTTCAAGGTCAAATTCATGTTCCTCAGCACGGAAATACATTTGGTGGTCAACAACCGTTACTGATACAGGCGCAGTACGGACCACCGCCCGCGTATGAACAGTACTACCAGTCTGACAACAGTGGACTACCGTATAAATCGTAACCATTTTTCTACATTTTCAGAGTCGTTTGTTATATATGAGCATATTTTAACTCTTTGAAAGAAAGACATTTGCCTCAGTAAAAAAGACAGTAATAAAGTATTGTTGTAGTTGACAAGTTATCATATCGTTCCCGCTTCTAATAGTCATAGCAACAAGGCTTCAAAAGGGACGCGAATAGTATATACATTTAATCACCTATAGAACAAAAAAAAAAGAGAATTGTTAAGAGAATATTGATCAAAGTAATGAAATTATAATTATTTATTATAACTCCAAAGTTTTCTCCATTATGTTGTGTATTATTTAACATAAATTAATATGTATTTATTGGCTGTTATAATAAACGTAGATTGTTCTTTGATCTTTACACCTAGAAATCACACAATTTTGTACAAAATGCGAAAAACTTTAATCAGGATTTTTTTTTTATAGTATTTCATATTTTGTTGTAGTTTAGGTGTACAAAACTTTCGTGCTTAGAGGTCTACCTTTCGGTACAGGGATCATAAAGCTTTGAGGCCTAATTGTAGTGCAATCTGTATTTTTTTTATAAAATTAGTACTTGCTAAGAATCGGATTCAGATAAGCCTGGGCCACAATCTGCAATAAATGTATGTTTAAACTAATAAATCAAGTCTTTGTAAGGGACGAAGACCGGGTAACATAATAAACTAGTTCAGCAAAATTATTGCAGCAATTTTCACCTGATTGTTTTGCTTATAAATCCAAAATTTTCAAAGTATTGCTAGAATACAATTTTCGAATTTTAAGATTTTTGAGTATATTGGGACATTTTAACTCTCGACAAAGCATTTCTTTAGGGGGTAAACAGGTCCGAGTGACGTCATTCAAAATGATTCTCGATTCTACCCAACGCCCACATACAACAGGGAATATGACTGCAGTAATGGCAAGCCAAACAGTAAATGCTCGTATGAAACAAATATAAAAATATCTTTAAAAAAATAACGCTTAAATGAAAAGCGCGCAATTTTTTTTATGAAACACAAAAAAGTAAGTTTGTCAATGAATTTATTTCTTTATACATTTTTGGAAGATTTTTTTGTTGTGATACAGAATTTTTTTTTAATACTTAAAGACCCTGTAACTCATTTTTATGGTTTTATTTCATAAATATAATGATCAAATGAAGATTTATCAATATTGTAAGTTCAAAAAACATTATTTGTAAAGATATAACCGGATTAAAATTTCATGTTAATAAAGGGAGGTAATTAGAAATTTAATTTCTTTAATGCCTTAGTCAAATGTTTCAATAAGAAATGAATGCATATATTTTAATGAGCACACATATTTGCAGTACATATTTAACATATTCTTCGATGTTTGAAATTTGTTTTAGAAGCATAATCATACACACATATAAAATTCACAAAAGTGAGGCCGCCCGGTTAGCTCAATAAGGTGAGCGTTGGACTGTGAAACAGGCGACCCGGGTTCGATTCCCGGACAGTGCAGGATCCTTTGATCCTTTCTACGGTCGTTCACGCTATACCTCTGATCTGGCATGAACAGAAGTTTCAGTTCCTTTCGAAAGTGAAGGCAACTTGTACTGGTAAACTGCTTGACAACCTGCTCAGGAACGATGCAGTGGTTGAACTGTGCTCTGGTGAATTCAATGTGGCTTACTGCAGTGATTTGGAGCGGAAACTATCGACACCACCACCAATACAGGTTACAACCATAATTACATTATACAGGACCTAATTATATGGTTCATCTTATAGACATTCTTGTCGTTGGCTATATGCAGATGCAACAGATGACATAGAGGGATCTTTCATGTCGTATAATGTACACACGTGTATTTTAATAATATACATGATATAAAGTTTTTATATCTCATCTCTTTACTAATGTTACATGCATTAAACATGTAGGATACATTTCATTTGTTTATTTAAACATATAAACGCTTTAAGATAGCATTGTTTCTTGTTGTGTTTTATTTGTTGTTTTTTATAATTGAATATAAGAGAGACAAAGAAGTTTATGTCATATGTATTCAATATTGTATCTAAAAAACCTCTTACATGGTGTACATGATTCAAACGTTAAGGTATCTTTCAATGACATATGTAGAGAGAATTTGGACATTCCTTTGAGAAGCTATTTCGGCCAATGATTTAATTTGCTTGACAAAGTTGAAGCCATGCTTCTTCGGTTAGAAGAAATAAATGAAAAAGATAGAGATTTGATTGTTGTTGTTGATGTTATTGGTTGCTTTAATCTGAAGTAATATAATTGTTTCAAGCTAGCTTATGGAATGTTAATGAATTTACTTAAAAGGTCCCATGAAAAAGATGGTTTTTACTTGAATCTGGACGTTTTCTATACTACGTGTGAATGCAAAACTATTGTCTGTACAAGATAGTAACGATCTTATTTGACTTTTATTTACTAGATGTCAGTTAATATCTAATACTCGAAATCTGGTTTGCGTAAAATGGAGATGAAAGACCTAATTGGAGAACCACAAATATACAGTACAGGTGGTGATCATTTTAAAGAAAGTATCAATATACATAGGTAAAGTCTGAAATTATTATTATAATAGAATTGCAGTATTTCACATGAATCTTAACACACTTACTTGTGTAAATCGGCTAAATTTAATCAGTCTAGTAAATCGAGTTTTTTTTAAATATAATTTCAAACACTTAATTGGTTAGTATTTCTATAGTAAGTTTTTACTTGGTTTAAACATATTTTATTTAGAATATTTGTACATGTGTAAATAATAACATAGCAATAATTATAGATTTTGGCCGAAAGCAGAAGCTTATAGAAGCCATTATCTACTTAATTTTTACTTAATTAAAGTGGTCGAATGACCGCGCCGTTCTTGACCCATTTTATTTTGTAAACGCTTACTAATAAACAATAATAACCTATACGTGATGTATTGCCTATTTCTATGTGAATCAAGTGACATCGTATGATTCAATATTCGTCACAAATATAATGTTCTTTTACATCAAAGTATTCCTAGAAGCATTAACAGTTGAATTTAACTCGGACACAATTCCAATATTACCAGAAGTCGAACGATACTAGCAATTCACTATTATAATACAAACACAGAAGAACACGCATCATTTTGTCAATATACAAATATTTTATTTATATACGACGAACAGAGTTATTCACACATGCATCGGAGATCGATTGTCCATATTTGATCGAATCATGACGTCGGGCTTGGAATCAACGTTCTGTATATACACAAACTCCTAAAAAAAACATTCTGCGTTTGTTTATATTTTTATGCATTTTCACAAAAGATAGATCTATAGAAAGAAATTCAGTAAGTGTAATTATTAACTCAGCGAAACAACTCACGAGAATACCATACTCTTGGACTATCTACATAATGTACACAGTCCTACGCATTAACCCAAGATTTCCAGTTTTCCCAGTAGGTATCGCATCCACACCGCTATCGCCTTAATCCGTACATGTGCTAATTTGCATACATAGCGTCAAATATTGGCCTAATTGTTTATTGTCTAATCGTTTGATATATGTGGATGCAAAGCCTAACGATGCCCTTCTCTGAATCACAACAAGTACCCCACGGCACCACCCTGTAATTACGGTGATATCACCGTGATAAAAGGTATCTTTTCAAAGGTATTAAAATACATGTGTAACTTTGCAAAGCTTTGCTATGTACAAGGCATTTATAAAACGTGTATGTATGCGCTTGAGAACGTTATGATTTATAGGGCAGTTCTGCATTGTTCGGCACATAACGCTGCTCGTAAGCTGGTGGAAATCCATATTGTTCATCCGAGGTTCTCATATATCCGCTGTCCATATTTCCTTGGACAAGGCATTGACCTTGAGCTGTATAATGTACCGCAGATTCATTCAATGTGTCCGGGGAATAAGAACATAAATCTTTCACATAGAGAGGCGCGCACACGAGTATACTAAGGCAGCCTGCAACACCACACAGGAAATAAGCGTAATTAAGCTTGGCGTCAACTTGGTCAATTTCCATTTCTGATGTTTCAATTTTACCCAAGTCTTTAAATAACTCAAATGTATCCGTTTTTGACTTTGAAAACGACCAAACCAATCACCACAATGTACCTGAAATGATAATAATTCTATAAAAAATATTCGCTAAAAGACGTTATGTCTTTATGTGGCACTTAAATACCGAAATTTGAGTACGCAACTACCTGCAAAAATATGTGGAACATTTGATGATATATGGGAAAATGCAATACGTTAATATTCAATTCTACTCTACTAGTATCACCAACGTCTAACAAACTAATTATATGCACATGAACACATCAGTGGATATTTCGAATTCCAAATTTCACCACTTTCGTGGTTAATGTTGAATACTAGTCAAGTCGATGCTAGTGTACGTGCATTGACGGAAGCTTGAACTTACTAGTACCGTCCATGTAACATTTTCAATTTTGCCGTTTTTGGCATTCGTAAGGGACTATTTTTTCTACCAATTGCACATGAAATTGGTAACAAGAATATTAATACATATGAAACTAGTTTTATGACTCCAATAAAAGTTTTCTCCGGAATTTGACGGAAAGAGTCGAGAGGCCGGGAGTGATTATTATTGACTCCGTTTGTTCTAAACTACATGTTTATACTTATTATAAATTACCTGAGACCAGTAGAATAAGGACGTTGGCTATCATAAACTTCTTGTTCTGTTGATAGAACAACGTGGTCAGTGACAATAACATAGACACGACTAGTCCAATAAGTCCGAGGGTTTCCGCAGCCTGTACCATGTTGAACCACACTAGTAAAGAAAATAAAAAAAGTCAGGAATGTTATCAAAACAAAATATGATCATTATACTGGACACACAAATTAGTGGATTTGATTTCAAAAACCTGATATTATATGTACGTTATATACAATGACACCACGAAAATCCACACTCATAAAAAATATAATTTCATGCTTTTTGATAGATTATTGGGATTTCTGTGAAAAATTTTAGTTTTACTGTAATAAATATCAAAATATGATTTTTTTTCTTTTGATATATTCTCAAAGGTTGCCTCTGACGAACTTAGTATTTTGCCCGAGGAATGAATATAAACAAAATGGTTATCATCGAGTGAGCTTCTGAGATAATAAGCAGATAATAATGTAACGAGTGAACCTCTCGTTAAATATGCAGAGATTATGAGTCATCATAGAATCAATCAATGTAAAGTGTATTGATTACAAATTGAAACCTTTACGCCTCCTCCGTTGAGCTTTAGATAATTAGAGTGGTTGGTTATTGGTAATCGACATTGGTAATTACTCACGATAACTCAATGCATAATATTGAGTTAAAGTTAACCTGGCGTTCCAAAATTCATTTTGTTCATAAAACCTAGTCCAAATAATTGTACTGCGCGTAAGACGCTTTGCAAAATCTAAGGTCAATTTCAGGTCACTCATGTTTTATTTAGTGGAGGCAGACAGAAGCTGTTTACTGCACGATAAGCCTCCAGAACAAATTTAAAGAGATGTTATTTCACATTTATTATACTTTAATTATTAAAATAAGCAGTTGTTATTAGCAAAAAATACATCTAACATATTTCAGATATTTGTGAATTATTTGATTTTTTTCTGTTGTTTTATTTTGGGATTTGTTTTATGTAGAAATTAAGGATATTACATAATGGTGAATAAAAAAGTTAAGGGTTAAAAAACTAATGAATATATTAAAAATGAAATTTTCAAATGAAATATTTTTTTTTTATAAAATTAAAAGAGATGTTTCCATCTCTACGGTGAGCTCTCAACATAGAATTTTTCTTTCATTGAAAACACATGAAAACTGCATTAAAAGAATAAAATGTTGCGGAACAAAATATAATGCTACTACTTTAATAACAAAACAAAACATATTTATTCATACAGACATTCTTATTCCAATTTATGGATGCTCAAAAAGGCAAACACAGAAAACACAATGTCATTACTTTGATTCCTAAATACTAATTGTGAAGAAGGGATGCATGGACAAAAGCTATAAAAACATTGGGCTAAGAAAAATAAATACTTGGCAATCAACGAATAATTCTTTGTATGCATTTTACGTTTCATACTGTGACCAATTGTTTTTGCTTCATGATCTTTACTATGTTTTATAACATAATTAATTATTAAGTAACTGTCTAATAATTTCTCCATTCCAAGAAGAAAATTAATTGTTTGCAAAAAATTGAAGTTAAGCCTTATATTTTTACAGGCTTTTCTACAGAAGTCGAAATATTTTAAATGACTGGGTTATGCATTTTAGAATTTAAAGACTATCTGAATAATTTGGATAGATGTGAACACAAATACATATTGTATATGTATTTAAGCCAGTCTGTTTTCATTTTTTTCTGTATTCTGATATTTTTGATAATATTGGTAGTTTTGAATTGTATATATGAAACTGAGTTTATGCCTGAGGTTAAAAATAAATAAAAGATGATTTAAAACAAATCAATGACAATTTAGGTTGTATGGATTTGATCTATCAGTTAATCGTTTTGTCTGCAGAAATGGATAGTTCATCAAAGTAAAAAACTAAATATACAGACATAAACTATAAAGAGTAAAGTCATTTTGAGCATGTGTAGACTTTTTAGGCTATTAGCAGACAGCTTTTAACCTGTGGTTAGTAATGATATGCAGCGTTCTATTTTTAGTAATTTTGAAGGGGTTATTATGCTATTTTCGTGTTCTGTGCAATATCTCGAACGAAAATATCTCAGAATCTAGCTATGGCACGTCAATATATTCTGACAAGATAAAACTATACACTTACTTGGATCATTTGTTCTGGAGAAACATAGACATGCACCGGTGTTTAGAAATTTTGATTTTGCACATCCACAATGTTGCCAGAGACCAGCATGATAACCAGTTTCTGTTGTCTCCCCTTCTACATGTTCTGTAACTGTTAATTCTACAGAAATCCATCGTGGTAAAGAAAATCCAACTATATGAATAACTAGCACAACAAGTAAAATAATTGTTGCAGATTTAAGACTGCTAGAACTAGAAGAGAGAGCTCTAATTGCCATTGTTTATCTAGAATCCACACACATTCCTAGACTATGATTAAATCTCCACTGAACAACGTTCTGTTTCAGGCTTCATATTGATCTACGAAGAAAACGCTCGTGTACATGCCAGTACGTCCACTGATA